AGTGGCCTCCGGGAAGTTTCCCGCCGCCATTGCTGGCTGGGAAGGAAAGCCGGAAATGGAGCCAACGTGTTGGCGAAGTAAGCGGTTTCTTTTGGCCTCCAGGAAGTTTAAGAGTGGCAGGAAGGAGAAAGAGCCAAAAGGGGATGCACTACGAGGTGCACCTGGGTGAAAAGGGGTATAGGATTGCAAGCATCTATCCATCCAGGCTGTGATGTGGGGACCAAGTCCCCCAGTGTTCTCAATGGGCAGTGGGGACTGTAGTTCCAAGTTTAAGGTGTCAGCTTGAAGAAGCTGATGGTAGCCCTAATTGCAAAATGGTCATGGTGTCCTTGAATACAAGATACCTATCTGGGCAAGGAAAGAAGCAGAGGCTTATCCACCCATTGATGGAGCACTTTTGGAGAATAAGTTGGATCAAAAGTTGAGTCTCTGGGACTCTTCTCCTAACCTAATTGCTTCTCAGTTTTTTGAGGTTTGATTTGGAAAAAGGGAAATTACAGAGTGTCCTTCTGGTGAGAGATTTAGCATTGCAGCTGAACCACCGATGTCAGCTTGTTGAAGTAAAGTATCTCTCAATGTGACAAGCTAAAATACACAAAGCACATTTCCCAGATTGGATGGAATTGGATTCAAAGGAAATATCCCTTTGTTGTGGGCTCAGTTACTTGTGCTGGACTTCAGACTATGTGTTTGAGTTATAGTTACCTCTGCATATACAGGGGAAATGCCTCAGCAAAATGAATTTGAACAGATTTCCTATCTAACAACTCAAGACAACCCAGGTAGTTGGCAGCACCTGGTCAACCTTTGTTGACGTTGAAAAATTAAGAAGGTTTGGACCTGATTAATACTTGAAAGGAGACTATTAAAAATCCAAAAAGAGCCGCAAGAATTGGATAAAATTATACATGGAACAGAAATAAAATTAATTAGCAATTTATACAAATACCTATTGAGATATAAAATGGAAGACGAGGTTATCAAAGAGACAATGATTAGATGGGCAAAAAATTTCGGATATAATATAGAATTGGAAAAATGGGAAAAAAATATGGGAAATAAATATAAAATTGACTATGTCGGTGGCATTCAAGGAAAACCAGTTGAAGATGTTTTACAGATGGCATCTTCCACCAGCAAAGCTTGCCAAGATGTTCCAGAATAATTCGCCAACATGCTGGAAATGTAAAAAAGTATATGGAGCATATTATCATCTATGGTGGACATGCTCAGTTGCAAAAAAATACTGGTCTATAATAAGAAAATGGATCCAAGAAATAATAGACCAACCCGTAGACTGGAAACCAGAGATCTTTTTGTTGGATATTTTAAACAGAAAATATAGTAAAGAAATATGGTACTTAATTTTACATATAATAACGGCGGCAAGAATAGCATATGCACAGTGCTGGAAAAATGAGAATATATCATCAGAGGAAGAAGTAATAAGAAAAATCCTGGACTGTGCTGAGATGGACAAATTAACAAAAGAGATAAAAGAAAAGGAAGACACAGAGTATTATATAGTATGGAACAAGTTGTATGTCTGGTTGGAGACTAGAAATAATAGAAGAGAATAAATATGGAAAGGTCAAAAGTGAAATAAGAAAAGTAAATAAGAAATAACGGGGTTATAAGGACAAATATTCTAAAGAAGAATAAGGGGGAAGTGTAAATATTAGATTACCGTTACGTAATTGCTGTTAAAAAAAAAGGAGTATATATATTGTATGTGTATGTGTGTTATGTTTTGCTTTGTTCTGTTTTGTCTTGTTGGTTAAAAATAAAAATTAAAAAAAAAAACTTGCTGGGCTGTAGGCTTGACCCAGAACTTCCTAAAGATGGCAATGGCAAGCCAAGAAAACTTCATAGATGTGTCCATGCAGTTATTAACTTGCTCTACTGAAAAGCAAGTTTTTAACAGATTTACATGTTTGAAATATAGGATCCTAAAGATATCAACTATGCTTTAAATTAGCCTGCTTGTCATCTTTCAGGAATTGTGGTGTTCAATTCGTAACAATGAAAATACATCCTGCATATCAGATATTTACATTATGATTAACAGTAGCAAAATTACAGTTATGAAGTAGCAACAAAAATAATTTTATGGTTGGGGGTCACCACAACATGAGGAACTGTATTAAAGGGTCGCGGCATTACGAAGGTTGAGAACCACTGGACTAGAAGATCTCCAACGTCCCTTCTAATATTCTGCTATTCTGTTAAGAATTCTCCCATAGCTTTAAAAATATATAGGGAGGGAAACATTACTAGTAGAAGGATGAAAGTTTTGCACCTGAGCAGGGAAACAGTGAACCCTACAAGGTGGATCAGAGTATGAAACCAATGCCATATAAGTTAGGACAGTATTTATCATAAAGTTGTAGTAACAGAATCTTGAATTTGGGGAATTCTTTTCTGAGACTTTTTTCAACTTAGTTTCTTGGCCTGGGCTCAAACCCTGCTTATCTCAGCATTGCCTTCTTCTGTCCTTTAAGGCCATTTTTACGTCATCTACAAAGGCCAAATTGAAGTCCATCCTCAGTCATAGAATGGCGAAGTGCCTGGATTATATTGGAGTAGTCCAACCTATTTTACAGGGTTTTAATTGAGGGAAAATGGGAGGAGAAAATGATATATATGTCACCATGAGCTCCTGGAGGAAAGACTATTGCTATTGCAATAGCAATAGCCCTTAAATTTATATACTGCTCCATAGTGCTTTACCACATTCTCCGGGTGGTTTATAATGTCCACATATTGCCCCCAACAATTTGGATCATTATTTTATGGACCTCAGAAGGACGAAAGACTGTGTCAACCTTGAGCCAGTGAGGATCTAAAACACAATGATATCAGCAGGTACAAGAATGGCAGATTAAGAAGTAACAGTTTCTTAAAAAGCAATACATTATCATAGAATACATAAAATGTACAATGTAGGGAATGTTGGCAATCTCAGATTTTTAAAGGCAAAGATCCATCCATCCATCCCTCTCTCTCAGATAAATAGAATACAATAGAATAGAGCTGGAAGGGATCTTGGAGGTCTTCTAGTCAAGCCCCCTGCTCAAGCATGAGAACCTATACCATTTCAGACATGTGTCTGTCTGTCTAGTCTTTTCTTAAAAACCTCCAGTGATGGAGCGCCCACAATTTCCGAAGGCAAGCTGTTCCACTGATTAATTGTCCTTGCTGTTAGGAAGTTTCTCCTTAATTCCAGATTGCTTCTCTCTTTGGTCAGTTTTCAACCATTGTTTCTTGTCCTGCCCTTTGGTGCTTTGGAGAATAGTTTGATGCCCTCTTCTTTGTGGCATCCCCTCAAATACTGGAATACTGCTATAATGTCACCCTATTTCTTCTTTTCTTTAGACTAGCCAAACCCAAGTCCTGCAGCCATTCTTCACGTGCTTTAGTCTCCAGGCCTTTGATCATAGTTGCTCTTCTCTGAACTTTTTCCAAAGTCTCAACATCTCTTTTGTACTATGGTGATGAAAACTGGTTGCAGTATTCCAGGTGTGGTCTTACTAGGGTTTTATAAAGCAGTACTAATACTTTGCATGATCTTGATTCTATGCCTGTTTATACAACCCAGAATTGTATTAGCTTTTTTGGCTACTGCTGCACACTGCTGGCTCATAGTCAAGTGATTGTCCGCTAGGACTCCAAGGTCCCTCTCATAGTTACTGTTTTTGAGCCATGTCTTGCCTAATCTGTACTTATACCTTTGATTTTTCCTGCCTAAATGTAAAACTTTGCTTTTTTCCACACTAAAATTCATTTTGTTGGACAGGGCCCATTGTTCAAGTGTGTCAAGATCTTTTTGGATCCTGAGCTTGTCTTCTGGGGTGTTGGCTTTTCCTGCCAGTTTAGTGTCATCCGCAAATTTTATGAGTTCCCCTTCTATTCCCTCATCTGTCATTCAGTAGAATATGGAAGGCCAAATGAAATACATATACATCTATATACATATCAATGAATGTATTTCATTCACTCACTAGTGGTTATTTCACTAACTCGGACCACAAACTCTTCATCAAAAATTATCTTCAAGAAAATAACAGTGGGCAGTATGTCCTATCAGCTAGAGATTACAAAAAAAGTCAGCTTCACTACCATAGCTGATGTGGAAAAATAGGAACTGAAAAATAGGAACAGAATTTATTCTCCTAAACAGATAATTTTCTCCAACTCATTCTGATTTATTCACAAAACTATTCATAAAAATACAAATACAAATCGTTCTTGTAATCTGCAATTACACTTCTCATTAAGATAAAGTGTTTTTATTTTGTCAGGACACGGCGAGGGCCCAGTCATGTGCCTTAGAAATCATGGTTTATTGCTTAGCGTTGTTGTGAACATCAATAGTTTATTTGGCAACTTTGATTTTTTTTGCTTCATTGGGGGTACTACAATAATCACGTCAGGCAGTGTCAGAGAAATGGTAGACTGAAATTTTCAGACCAGGTTTCTGGGTTTCATGGACATCAAAGTAGTAGAGTAGAATGACAGGCTTAAATATTTTTTTCTTCTTTTAAAAATTCAAACTCTGAATCTAATTTTGAATAGTTTCAGAGAGATTACAGAACACAATGGCTACAATAGTGTTTTTTTTTACATATCTTTAGAGACAGATATCTTTGTAGATAACTAAATTGTAAACCTACATTTTTAAAGGCTAACCATTAGACCTCTAAAGGAAGTAGGAACTTAAATGTATCTTGAAAGACAAATGAATTAATTTTATGTGTGAAACTTAAGAAAACACAGATCTCCTGATTTTAAATCACAAAATATATTGAGAATTTCAATGAAAATTCCAAGGGCATAAAAGAGAAAAGGAGAAATATGCAGGACACCCAGCTGATGAAGTACTTTACAGCTGTTAGATTTTTTAAAAATCTATATTTCTCAAGATCAAGGTTTACCTTGGGGACTACTGAACAGTGATAAGATCTGCCCATTCCCATGCAGTTTCTATAATCTGAACTTACCATATTTCATATTGTTCCAGGTAGAGAGGAGCTTGCTCTTGATCTTGTCCACTTCATCAGGTTCGCTATACTGGCTGCAGGTGGCACTTCTGGAGAAAAACCCTGGATAGCTCCCTCCCTGGCTGCTGGCTCGGGGATTAAAAAACTGCCTTCCATCTGAACGGTGCAACTCTTCCTGGCTTAAGTACTGCACTGAGGTGGGTGACACGGAATTCATTTAATAACTGAGACTAATGGAGACTATGTCCTCTTTGACAGGTTGAGATGAAAGCTTCATGTGCATTGCTGGGGAAGTAGAACTACAAAATCAAAGGCAAAAATACTAAGGAAGCTTCTGTAGAGATATAACAGCTCAACATTATTAAATATAAATATCTGCAAATATGTCTTATATTCAAATCATCTTCTTAACTATAGCAAATCTCAAATCCTGCATAGATGTTTACTGCTCTATATCCAACTCAATTGGGCTGGGGAGGGAGGAAGGAAGAGGTTTTAAGAAATGTCACGTCACCTACAAAGGCCAAACAATGAGGCAAGTATTATAATCCACTCAACTTCTTTAAACAATTAATTTTCATTCCCTGTTAATCGCAGTTAAAAGACCATGTATGTGCAAATCTTTGCACAAGACAAGTTCAGATATTTTAAAAACCTGCAATATGGGAGAAAAAAGAACCAGAGAAAAGTCCATGGTTCCTCCAGCAATGCTTAAGAAGTTTATACCAAAACTTTAAAAAATAGAGAATGTGTAATTCAGGAATATGTTATATGTTCACCTCTTCAGTTGAGCATTGGGAAGTAACTCATCTGTTCAACACTAATAAAAGCTAATTTAGAAAGGCAAGAAAAGAAAAAAAAAGCCAACATCTTTCAAATCAGTATTGTCAAACTTGTATTCTACTGATTACCATCTTAGATTCGGGTTACCTTCCCTAAATTATATGCCAAAAGCAAGATTGCTTTTGTTGCCTATAAGGAAAGGGAAGAACTATCTGCTTTGGTGTCGTAATCATTAAAGCATCAGGAAAAGTCAAACAGAATAGTTAGAAGAAACCGGGAAAGCTTAATAGGGACAATTTCCGTTTCGGTGGTGAGTCCCACAACCCGCTCTGAAGAACTACAGTACCAGGTTTATCCAGCCTATGGTGAGTGTGGGCGGGGGTGGGAGAGTGGAGAGACTGGCTGCCCCTTCCCCGTCTACACCTCGCCGATTTGGCCTAACCTACAGCCCGTCTCCCCCCCTCCCCCACGCCGAACCATGCCCCTCGCAACCAAAGCGAAGACCTGTCCCAAACCCTTCTCTACCAAATGCAGTAAGGCCAGCCTACTTATCCAACTTACCCAAACGGCGGAGGCATAGGATACGAGACTACGGGCCCTCTCTGGGGCGTTCCGCTGGCCGTTTTCAATCCGCCAGGAGCATCCAACTTCGCACTTTCGTACCGTACCGCAACAATATCTCCGGCTCCGTCATCTTAGATCCCCGGAACAAGAAGCGGAAGTGCTTCCTTGCCCTTAGATAGCGGCCGGAAATACTTTGGCCAAGAGATAAAAAGAAAGAGAAGCTTTGCTTGAGGAACGAGTTGCGGGTGTATTTTCGGCTACGCTCCTCTCCTAAATGTTTTCAGCCGCATTTTTTTCGTTTGGCGGGAAGAACATGCTTTTTCAAGGCCTTTATTAGCTCTGCTTCATAATATTAATAAATTGTAAAAAGGCAGCTTTTCATGGAACAATTTATATCCTGCTACGATATCTTTAACAGCACCAAACAATCATGTCTGTCTATCCCAGCTCTTTGGGAATTACTCGTTAAATGGATAAAAATACTAAAATCCAGTGTCGTCTGAGCTGTGAGATGGGCGGCAAATAAATTTGATAAATAAATAAATACACCCTTGGCTTACTGTGAGATGAACAGATGATTATTCTGATAATAATTCTTTGGTCCTTGGTTGGATTTGAATTAATAAGTTTTCACCAATCTTTAACTATGACTCTATAGATTATCCAAATCTGCTCATAACACATCAGATTTTAAGTTTGCTTTAAAAGAATAAAGTATGGATAACTGATGAAGCAATACAAGGAAGAAGACAAAATTTGAAAAGGTCACAAAGTATCAAGATCTAAAAATTGAATTTGAAAGATGATGGCATAAACCAGGTGTGGTGGTTTCAGTGGTTATTGGCACATTGTGTGGCGTACCAAAAAATCTTGGCTAGCACTTAGAATATCTGTGTATTGACAAAATTTCCATCTGTCATATATGGATCTCACATATACTATACTGATACATTACAACCTCCTAGATTCTTGGGAAGAATTTCATGCATAAGGCCAACACCTCCTAAAGAAGTAGAAGCAGTGATTTCACATGTTTATGTATATAGTTATGATAATCCCCCAGTGAGATACTACCTTGATATGATTGTGGGGCTTATGTGCTCTGAGGAAGATGGGAACTATGCCAGAGGTTCAACGATACTGGACAGGTCTCATCAGAGGAGTCAAGAGAAAGAGTGTCTCTCCCATAAAAAATATGGTAAGAAATAAGTTACAGAAATAGAATAGAACAGAGCTGCAAGGGACCTTGGAGGTCTTCTAGTCCAGCCCCCCCCCGCTCAAGCAGGAGAACCTATACCAGCGGTTCTCAACCTGTGGGTCGCGACCCCATTTGGGTCGATCGACCATTTCACGGGGGTCGCCAAACAACGCGATCCGCCATTTTTTTGTCAGCCGGCGCAGGGGGTGGCGTCGCACATGTGCGCCGCGCAGGGGCGGTGCATGCGGGTGGCGCCGCACATGCGTGCCGTGCAGGGGGCGGTGCATGGGGGCACCGCGCATGCATGCGGCGCAGGGGGCACCACCGCACATGTGTGTCACGCAGGGGGGGCGCCGCGCATGCGCGCCGCCTGCTTATGTCCGGAGTCGCCGTATAAAAAGGACCACTGACCTATACCATCTCAACAAATGACTGTCTAGCCCAGAGGTAGGCAACCTTGGCTCTTTTATGACTCATGGACTTCAACTCCCAGAATTCCTGAGCCAGCATGGGTGGCTCAGGAATTCTGGGAGTTGAAGTCCACAAATCATAAAAGAGCCAAGGTTACCTACCCTTGGTCTAGCCTATTCTTAAAAATCTCCATTGATTTCTGGAGGCAAGCTGTTTCACTGGTTGATTGTCCTCACTGTCAGGAAGTTTCTCCTTAATTGCAGGTTGCTTCTCTCTTTGATCAGTTTCTAACTGTTTCTTGTCCTGCCCTCTGGTACTTTGGTGAATAACGTGACCCCCTCTTCTTTGTGGCAGCCCCTCAAGTACTGGAATACTGCTATCATGTCTCCCCTATTTCTTCTTTTCTTTAGACTAGCCAGACCCAAGTCCTGCAGCCGTTCTTCATATGTTTTAGTTTCCAGGCCTTTGATCAATCATCTTAGTTGCTCTTCTCTGATTTTTTTCTAAACTCTCAACATCTTTTTTGTGATATGGTGACCAAAATTGGCTGCAGTACTCCAGGTTTCTTACTAGAGTTTTATAGAATGGTACTAATACTTCACATGATATTGATTCTATGCGTCTGTTTATACAACCCAGGATTGTATTAGCATTTTTAGCTGCTGCTGCACATTGCTGGCTCATGGTCAAGTATCATCCACTAGGACTTCAAGGTCCCTCTCACAGTTACTATTTTTGAGCCAGGTCTCACCCAGTCTGTAATTTGATTTTTCCTGCCTAAATGTAAAACTTTGCTTTTCTCTACATTGAAACTCATTTTGTTGGATAGGGCCCATTGTTCAAGTTTGTCAAGATCTTTTTGGATCCTGAGCTTGTCTTCTGGGGTGTTGGCTACTCCTGCCAGTTTGGTGTCATCTGCAAATTTGATGAGTTCCTCGGTCATTGCCCAAGTCAGTCAACAAGCTCTGCACTAGGTGTTGGGAGTTCTTGGACATCTATTAAAAATTGGGCTACAGGACTCAAGACTGTTGGCTGAGCAACCACGGCCAGCAGCTGCAGAATTGGAAGGAAAGGTCTTTACCCACTGCAAATATACAGTAATTAAAAACAAAGAAATAATGATCTGTTATTACACATGAAATCCAATAAGAAGAGAATATTTGAAACAAATGTACCAGTTCTGGAAAGAACAACATTCAGAATCAGAAATGACAGAATAGAAGCTGGCATATCAACATTGATTTATAATAAATAAAGTATTCACATGTTATGTGCTCCTGGCTACTTTCCTTCATGACCAGAGGCAAGCTCGCCTGACCAATAACCAGCCAAGACACAGTGAAGACCTTTTGTTTTGTTTATTGCAATAAGAGAAAGAGAAGCTTTCTAAGCTCGGTTCTCTTCAAAGTTTTAACCCAAAATATCTCCTTCTTTTATTCATCCCTATCATCGGCCGCTACAGCCCTCCTCTTTCCCCATTGGTAGTATGAGGTTACACTCTTTCCGACCGCCTATATACATTTCCTGATAACATACTAAATCATATTCACATATACAATAAGAATAAGAAAAGTTAGACATTTAAATGGTTATTTTAAGAGCCGAGGTGGCGCAGCAGTTAGAGTGCAGTACTGCAGGCCACTTTAGCTGACTGTGTTCAGCAGGTCAGTGGTTCAAATCTCACCGACTCAAGGTTGACTCAGCCTTCCATCCTTCTGAGGTAGGTAAAATGAGGACCCAGATTGTTGGGGGCAATGTAAAATATATATACATTGCTTACTGGTGTACACCACTTAGAGAGTGCTTGCACTTAAAGCGGTATATAAGTCTCATAAATAAATAAATAATAAATAAATTTTAAACTCAGTAGATATTTATGTCTCCATTTTAAACAATAAGTTCTTTTCCTGCTTTTCAATTCAATGTGCCTCTCTTCTTATCTTATATGGCTTAGTTTCCTATTTTCCCATTCAACCTGTCCTTCCTGGCTAGCCATTTCCTTTTAAAAACTATATCTATTTTTATGGTTTCTCTTCTTCCTTTCTCAGACCCAGCTATTTTTGCCTATATGGTTTATCTCACTTCCTTTATGTTATCTCTTCCTGACTCTCACCATTTGTATTTTTTTTCTTCTATTCAATTAGTTTCCATTGTATGGCAGGTTTAACTGACTCTAAAGATTTATCATATTGATGCATATTTATCACACAGAAGCAGAATTAGAAAATTTGCAAAGGTTTACCTAGAACAAAGAAATCAAAGCCTTGCCAGAAGTAACTCAGACTGTAGAGGCAAACATAGTTGGCAATAGAGAAATCCAGCAGAGATATAGAATTGTTTTCATTTGGAAACCAGGCACCCTCTCCTTTGCCTCAAAAAGAACAAAGCCCTCTAACTAAAGAAATAGAAAAAATGAAACAAAAAATAACTGAGTATCTAACACAAAAACATCAGGATAAGGTTGCCTGCATTGAAGCTTGTTCTAAAGAAGCAGCCGGCACAAGCATTAAAAGATGCCAATACTTCAATATTAAATATAAGCACCAGCTCCCTGCAAGACACAAACCAACTAATGCAGTTATAACTGAATACCTGGGATGCAAAATCAACCAAGAAGGTGTTGTGTCCAGAGCCTGCAGAAGCAGGCTCGGGACATTGCAAAGGTCCCGGGCATTCCAAGGCTGCCTGGGACCAGAGTGAGTGGCGCCAGCCTTGTGCACATGCGCAAGGCATTGGCTGCCCAGGACCAGACTGAGTGGTGCTGGCCTTGAGCGCATGCGCAAGGCGCAGAAACGCTAACTCACTTGTTGCCATTGTCCGGGTCTCTGAATGTTTAAAAGGAGAGGCCTGTGAACCTTTGGGTTGTTGGGTGTTGCTGTTACTAAAAGAATAAAGAGTTGTTAATGAAACCATGTGTATTCATCATTCGCCCTTGGACGAAGAACTTAACACTGGCGACGAGGATGGGATGCTTTACAAGCTGAAGATAAGAAAGCTGTAAAGACTTATCCAGGAAGTCCTGAAGAGGGGAAGGCGGCGTTGGAATCAGCGTCCCAGCCTGCCAGTACAGCGTTGCTGGAGGGTGAGCTCGGCTGAAAGACCCCTTCCCGAATAGAAGCTGCAGAGGAGCAAAAGGTGAAGGTTAGGAACTACAGGATGGCAAAGATTGGTCGTTTATCTGACTTTGATATCTCACACCCAGAGAGATGGGAATCCTATGTTGCAAGGGTGGAGAATTACTTCAGAGTAAATCAGATTAGAGAAGATGGCTTGAAGGCTGCAACTCTGTTGTGTGTCTGTGGACAGGAAGCTTTTGAAATTGCAGAGAATCTGGTGGCCCCTGCACTTCTGGAGTCAGTAACATATACTGACTTGAAGAAACTGCTGGAGGAACATTTCCAGCCCAAATTGTCTGTTATTGCTTGGAGGCACACATTTGAGCAAAGGGACCAGAGGGCAGGTGAATCTGCTAAAGACTTTATTGCGGCCTTAAGGCGAGCAGCCAGACCTTTTGAGTTCAAGGATCTGGAAGAGAGGCTGCGAGTTCACTTT